AAGAGAAAGGAAAAATTGAAAGCGCATCATATGACCCCTTTAAGGAAGAGGTGGAGTTTAAGCAGACTAAATGACTGGAGAAGCCTTGATCACCAGAGAGACGTCTGTCATTTCACTGACATTTGGACTAAATATTACATTTGACTAAAAAAATAACAAGCTGTTTATGAGCACTATTTATTCATATCACACATTTACGCTAAGCTTTATATGCTACAGTCCCTAGGTTCACGGACTCCTGGACATCAGTATTTTAACCATTCATAAAAGATGAATCACTGTCTGGCCATCTGAGATTTCGGTATGGAGATAAAGTTTAAGCTACACTATTTTAAAGCTGCTGGGTCTGAACTGGCTCTGCTTCTGACCTTATACTCTCACTATCTCTGTGTGTTTGCCCCTCGTTATAAACAAAAGACAAATTGCATCTGATTGAAAAAAAAACTTTTTTAGGGACAGTTTAATATATTAAAATAATGAGGTGGAGTTTAAGCAGACTAAATGACTGGAGAAGCCTTGATCACCAGAGAGACGTCTGTCATTTCACTGACATTTGGACTAAATATTACATTTGACTAAAAAAATACACTTACATGGATGAATCATTCACAATAAGATCAATAACAAGCATTTAGAAACTAGTTTGGGTGAATTTCCATTTCATAACTTTACTTTCATTAGGCATGACTTTCATAAACCACTCTTCTGTAGATGGTGATGAGCTGAACACATCTCACCTGTACATCTGCAGAGTCTGTCCATCTCTGGCTTGTCCCACAGCTGCTCATGTTTTCATCCTCCTGGGGTTTGACACACGGCTCGATTTCTCCCCACAATGCTGTCTTCTGCTTTAGATAGCATTGTCAACAGAGATTCAAGAGGTTAGTATCATTTGGTAATTGTACAAAATTACTAGATATTATCTACATCTACAGGGAAAAGCTAGCATTTTGTCTTTACTGTCACTTTTCACTCTCTTTCTAATTTTTTTAAGTCGTGATGAAAGATTTGGTTTTAAGGAAGAGGTTAAGAGAGTTTAAGCAGAATAATTGACTGAAGAAGCCTTCATCACCAGAGAGACGTCTGTCATTTCACTGACAGGTCGAGACATTTGGACTAAAAAAAATACACATATGCATGGATGAATCATTCACAATAAGATCAATAACAAGTATTTAGAAAATAGTTTGGGTGAATTTCCATTTAATAACTTTACTTAATAAAGTTCTAGTTGTGTGCTACAACTAACCCAACTCACTAACTAACTCACATTTTTTCTTTTTTTTCTCTCTCTCAATTACAATAAAATGTTTTCTCTTTTTACCACGTAATCTTCTGTTTTGTTTGTCAGTAAGGGACTATCTTTGTACCCTGTTTAAGTACATAGTAAAAAATTAAAATGTATTTACGTAGCCTGAGTTGGCACAATGCAACATCATTTGTCAGATAGCATGTAATCAGACCATGCAAATTTGTACTTCTCACCAGGCATGAATTTCATAAACCACTCTTCTGTAGATGGTGATGAGCTGAACACATCTCACCTGTACATCTGCAGAGTCTGTCCATCTCTGGCTTGTCCCACAGCTGCTCATGTTTTCATCCTCCTGGGGTTTGACACACGGCTCGATTTCTCCCCACATTGCTGTCTTCTGCTTCAGATTGCAGTTTTAGCGTTAACTGTTGTTGAAATATTACCGTGATGTTTCTGTCTATCGATGTTTTATTCCGCCAAACATACCAATGCTAAGTCGAAATCATACTAAATGTGTAACTAATACTACAGTAAGACGTTACCATTCTTGGCTATATTTGTAGCAGTGGGATATATGACAGACACTCGTAACACTTAATTAATGTAATCATTTTACATTTGTCCTTTTAATTGTCCTGTATTCAAAACAACAACTCAAGAAAAGGCGTTTTGGTTTTACGTTCTGACCGTCAGTGTAGCCACTCTATTAGTTCCGTGTGGAACATTTTCAATGCAAATGGAAAGTTCCGTTTATTCCAACGTGTGTAAATTCACCATTGTCCAGTAGGTGGCGACATACGCCAACACTCCGCTATATACTGCTACTGCCGTTGACTAGTCAGAAACCAACTACCAAAAATAATTATTACAGCCACACAGCTTTCGGAATCATCTTTGGGCATCATCATTTTAAAATTAGCTGCATCTTATAACTGAGCATTGAATATCAGGTAAGTAGTGAATAACGCACCAAAAACAATATTAATATTTGTCGCAAAAAATTCCAGTGTTTCTAATAAATCTGTGGTAACTTGGTTATCTCATATTATTTTGTCATAATTTTAAAATACTCTAGTAAGTTAAGCAACGCATTTCAGTCACCTCACAGCACTTTAGTGTGGTTTTAGAAAGCTTTTTGGACGAGGTTTATGAGATTTGGTACTTTTTATCCGTTGTGATGCTTGACAGCTTTAATAGTGTGCCTCATCTTACTTTACCTTCTACGACTGGAGAATAGCAGTGTAAAAAATTCTTAAAAATGTCATTTTGTTTACCATAAATGGGGGGAAAACATACTGATTCACATTCTCATTAAAAATTAAAATAAATAAGTTGTAGTTGCAATAACAAGAGAAAAGGACAGAGGAATGACTACCATCATGAAAGCTTGAGGAAAATGCTTTGATTATTTATTGAAGGGTTAAGGACATTAGGCTGCTTAATGGCAAAAGCTCATACTAAAAAAAACAAACAAGACAAAACGCTAAGAATGTCCATTTGCCCAAAGTGATTAAACACTTTAAGCAGTTATATACTACTCCATCCATACAGCTCTGTCATTTATTCAATAGCAACTTAAAAAACACCTCTCAACAATTCTCTTGCAAAAAACATGGTTCTAGTACCATAAGATACATGAAACACTGCACACATTTGTCTCAAAGTCCAATATTAAATTGATGTCTGATTATGTTGTCAGAGTACATACTTTTATCAGTTGTAATCATCCATGATTTTTGCTTACAACTAAACCTCTTGCACTCATCTCAACATAGACTATCATAAAATATTGCATTAGACAACAATAAGTGAGTTTACTCATTTCTACAAAGAGGAATACCTTGTAATTACATCTCAGTGCAATTAGATATGTCTACAAATGGAAAATATCTGAAAATTGAAATATCAAAAACTTGTAAAACATCCAGATGTTTGTATTTCTAAATCTCTCAATAACATGCAACTGATTTTCCCTCTCCCATCTTTTGAGGAGAATCATAAATGGAGAAAAAAGTAAATTAGCACAGCGCAAAAGCTGCATCAGCTATTTTAAACCTCAGGTGATACATTGATGACACTGGATATGTAGTTGTGTGAGTCATATAATTTAAAGAGCAGGATTCGCAGGTGTCGTTTACCTGTGATTTGCCAAAAACATCATGGCTTAGTTTAACTATACATAAATCACATTGATCACTTCTAAAAAAAAAATCAAAACATAACTTTGTGTTCCTTTCATTAAACAGTTGTCTCATTGTTTCACAAGGGCACAAACCAGCAGTGGCGGCTAGTCGGGGGAGGCACAGCTTCCCCATAATTTTGAGGTGAAAATGGGAGGAGGACGATTTAATGTTAATAAAATTCACAATTCATTTCAGTTCATGTCTCAGAATGTATATTTTTTGTTTGTAATTTCACAGTTGTAATACCATAACGCGAAAGCGGCGCTTTTCTATCGCGAATGTGCCGAATCTGCTGATGTAATTGCAACCGCTAGGTGATAGAGAAGGGTAGGGGGAGGCCGGGGCAGAGATGAGCTCTCGTGCCTCCGTTGGTAAAAAGAATTAGCCAATTAGCATCGAGTGTTCACTTTCAGCGCTGAGGAGTGTTGAGAAAAGAACCCTTGCAAGGGAGGCTAGCCTCCCTTCTGATATCAACCAATCATAGAGACGTAAATTACGTTATAGTTTGAACGTCTGCCGCTGCGCTGATAATGTACCAAGTACTTATGATGAGTAGCGATATTAAATATTTGATCGCCAACAGATTTACCAAGCTGTCATTCAAACAGTATATATACAAATTTAGGGAAAACAGCCTAAGCTGGATATAGGCTACAGCAGTCGGCTTAATTAAATGGCGCAACAGGCAGCTCTCTTTTAACACAGACTTTTAAGAAGGGATGGATGTTTGCTTCAAGTGATAGGCCAGGTAAGTGAAATTATATTATCTTGCTGTATGTATGTCGTTTTCTTTACGTTTTCTGACTAAAAGCAACCAAAAAGCCATTTTAAAGTGGTTAAGCAAATAATAATAATAATAATAATAATCGGCAGGGATCCCAGACCAATACAATTAGTGTGCCTCCTCTATTTTAAAACCCAGGAGCCGCCACTGCAAACCAGAGGTGCCATTTCAAAGCAGAAAAGATTTAAAAAAAAATAGATCAGATGTGTACTGATATAAACTCCTTTAAGCCTGGAATACACTACATGATTTTTGCCCCGATTTTCCGTCAATTTACAGTCTGGAGAAATTGACGCTAGTTGCCGAAAGTCAGAGTCAGTCTGCAGATTTGAGTTGACAGATTCCATAGAAAATCGCATAGTGTATCACTGAATATTCGAAAGATGCCACAATCCTGCACAGAACGGCTCAACGGCTCTGTGAGAACCTAGAGTATGGTGAATGACGTCAAGTTGACCGTTCCAAGATGGCGGCCGCATCTACGTGCCTGGAGCCGTCGAATGGGGCATCTATACATACATATCTATGATCGGAACAACTTGAAAGTCTGGTAGTGTGTGATCCTCAGTCATGTAGTGTATGATGGCCAGTTTTCCTTTTTCACTATTTACAAAGTCGGTAAGTGTATGATACCTAGTGTTTTAAAAATCTGTTCAGATTTTAAAAGTCATGTAGTGTATTCCAGCCTTTAGTCTTCTGCTTTGACAGTTATAAAGTTTGAACATCAGAAGAAACAGAACAAGGTCACATTTACATTTGAATTACTCTGTCCTTCACATGCAACTTGTGCCACAGCCACGGGCCACAAAATGTTAAAATAGGTTCTGTTGTGGTTAAATTAGGTTATAATGTAGAGTGTAGCAGAAATTGTAATATACATTTTGAGATGAACCTGAGTATGGTAAAGGGTTGTGTATGTGAGATGCACGTTACTGGCTATGCTTGTTTAAAAAGTGAGTAACCTAACTGGGTAAACTTACAGAAACATTTATAGTGTATTGCACTCAGGCTACAGATCATTTGTAGTTTGGTTCTCATTGGATCTATATAATACGACACATCCCATCCTCCCAATAGAAAAATAAAAATCATCTCAATATCAGTAGGCCTAAACAGACTAGAATTGATCCCACAGCTATTTGATTAAAAAATTTACATTCACAAGAAGACAACAGAAGACAATTCAAATTGTTATGTGCAAAAACATTATAGATCTCTATAGAAACATTTATAGTGTATTGCACTCAGGCTACAGATCATTTGTAGTTTGGTTCTCATTGGATCTATATAATACGACACATCCCATCCTCCCAATAGAAAAATAAAAATCATCTCAATATCAGTAGGCCTAAACAGACTAGAATTGATCCCACAGCTATTTGATTAAAAAATGTACATTCACAAGAAGACAACAGAAGACAATTCAAATTGTTATGTGCAAAAACATTATAGATCTCTATAAAAAAATATGTGCATATGAATAGAGCTTGTTTCTCCACTAATACAATATGTTCTCTATTTACACATTATGAGTCAATAAAATACATAACATGTACAGTTCTTATTAGTTCTTTTAATCTGTATACTCTGTCTCTACAGAAAACATTACCAATGCTCATGAAAAAGGGAGGAAAGACTGACAAATATGATACAGATGATACATAACACTACACATCCTGAACTCAAATCAATGTGATTGAGCACTGGGATTAAAATTAGAACCAGAGTTCCATTTGGAAACCTGAAATTGCATATCCCATGTTCAACACCTTGCCCGATCACAGTCAGATCAAACGCTGTTCCCTGCTAGGATCGGCTGCCATTCCTAGCTGGCTTTCATGATGATATTATATTTGAAAAAGAAAGAAAGAAAACTTTGGCTACAGAAAGAGGTCGACGTCCCCCATTCAACTAGTTGCCGCACCCTTGAGTGTGGATGGTAAAATTTGGCTAAAGCCGATGTCCCTCATTGGGTTGTCCTGTTTACAGAGCTGAAGTCAGTGGATTCTTCAAATCGGTTATCAAAGGGGGACGGCTGTGTGCTTTCACACAAAATGCCTGCCAGATTACCCATTGGGGTGGGGTGCGGCAGGGACAGATACTCGGCACAGTGAGAGGGGTGCCGCTCTACTTTGATGAGCGGCTGGGTAGACAGCTGTTTCTCAATCAAATCCAGAGAGTCCCGCTGTAGGGCCAGGTCATAGGATGGCGTCCTCCTCCGTAGTAACATGCTGCTCTCCGACAGCTTTTTCATGGATGCAAGAGAAGCGGGAACTTCCGTTTCAAATGGGGGCTCGATGGAGATACAGGGAGGGCTCATCTTTTTCTTACGGGGAATGTGCAATGACTGTCCACGCATCGGAATGTGCCTCTTCTCACTGAGTTCTTGACCAAACAGCCCGTCATCTACTGAAAAGCAAATCTCAACTGAGTGCCTACGATGGTCATCGGTACCATAGGGTTTTTCCAGAAAACCTTCTGTGTCCACGCTGAAGCACTTCTTTGGGTCTTTGATGCTTAAGTTGGCAGCACTGCTGCAGTTCTTCACAGGGACGGGAAGCAGCATCCCTGAGGTGGTATAAGGAGACAGGGAGTGACTCCGGGCTTCTGCCTGAATCCCTACCCACAGCCGTGCTGTACTGTTGATGTGGTGGACCTCCTCGTCGATCGGATCAGCGGAATCAAACATGGAGCCACTAGGGCTGGTGCTTCTGCTGCTGCTGGCCAGGCTG